CATTTGTGACTAATCTCTGCTACATATCTGCACTTGATCATCGACTTGTGGGGTGCCTCAAGATGTTAACTGACTTCTACATAAAAAGGAAGAAAAGAAAGGCACCTATAAGACATTTTTAATAAAAATTTATTTAACCACTTCCCGACCGGCCGTTGCATATAAACGGCCGGACGGTGGCAGTGCAGGGTCGGGTGGCCGTTTATAAACGGCCTCCCCGCACCCTGCTTGTGCGCGCTCCCTGGGAGCACGCAGCACCGCGATCTGGTGCCCGCTGTGTCCTCCGGACACAGTGAAACACCGATCGTCGGACGGGACCTCTGTACGAGGTCCCGATCATGTGATCACTGATTGGCCAATCAGTGATCACATGCAAAGTAGTAAGCAAGATGTTACTTGTGACATCATTGCTTACTACGTGTGAAATCTGTGAATGATCACAGAGGTCACATGGTACAAGGCTATTCACAAAAGCCTTGTACCATGTGACAAGCTGTGACCAATCACAGCTCTCTCAGTACTTCTCAATGAGTGCAAGAATGCACACAGAGAGAAAGAGAAATGATTGCTTTTACATCCTATATGGGTGTAAAAGCAATGTGTAAAAAAAAAAAAAAAAAAAAAAATTCATCACCCCCCACAAGTAGTACAGTGTCACCATGGTGACACTGTACTGCTAGGGTGACAGTATGTAAAAAAAAAAAATAAAAATAAAAAATAATAATATAAAAAATAAAATAAAAATGTAAAAAAAAATGTTTAAAAATTATAATTTTTGGTTATAAACTAATTTGGATTTTTTTTTTTACCAAAAAGATAACAGAATAAATTTTGGGAAAGATTTATGATGAAATATTATTTATTTGCAAAATTTTATAAAAAAAACACTTTTTTTCAAAATGTTTGGACATTTTCATTTACATAGCAAAAAAAAAAAAAATCCCAGCGGTGAATAAATACCACCAAAATAAAGCTTTATCTGTCTCAAAAAAATGGTAAAAAATTCATTTGGGTACAGTGTTGCATGACCGCGCAATTGTCATTCAAAGTGTGATAGCACTGAAAGCTGAAAATTGCCCTGGTCAGGAAGGGGGTAAAAGTGTTCGGTCTGGAAGTGGTTAAACAACGATCAGCAACTCACAGAGGGCCGAGGTTAAAAAGCACATCAATAACCGTTCAGATACAGGTGTTTGCAGTGTAGCACCATTCAATCTGCCTCATCTCAATGCTGCTCCATTCGTTTGTGGATCTAGGGAGCCAGCTGTAGATGGAAAGGATCCCAAACCGAGGGCTAAAACATTGCTAGAGGAGCGCAATGTTTGGTGTGATGATGCCACCAGATCTGTGATGTGTTTCCTGAGCATGCGCACTGCGAGTGTATTGGGAGCTGTGCTCCTTTATCAAGCTAATAGGACAGATGTCAGTGTAACCTATGTATATACTATTAACTGGCTAACCACTCATGGGGATTTAAAGGGGCACCAGTACTAAGTTGCTGAAACATGTATGAAAGACAGCACTAATACAGCATTGCTGATGCATAAGAAAACAGCACTATAATGCCAACAGTATTATTACTTACAGCAAAGATAAACAATAGGCAAATTTTTTCTACTAAAAATTATATAAAAAGAGTGTAAAATTATATAAAAGAGACAATATATTAAAAAATACTCAAGTGCTAAAATAATTGCCACTTTAATTTAGGTTAAAAACCTCCTTGTTTGAGAAAGGAGCAAGGTTTAATGTAGGTTTAATGACACTTTATTAATTTATTGTGATATTTTTTCTCGACAGCAAGCAGAGTGGAAGGTTCAACATTTAACAAAATGAAAAAAAAAATAATTTATCAGATTTTCCCAATTTCTTTTTATGGCATAATTTGCAAGTGCTATTACATTACATTCATAATGAACAGCACACCTAGAACTTAAAGGTAAAAAGTGTCTGAAGAGAATGCATGTTGCCCCTAGCAGCCTGATATTCAGACCCTACTGGATGAACAACTTTATGAAGTATAAAATATTGTATTCCTGAGCATTAATTAATTCCTGAAATTGGGCAATTACAATTAAGAAGATTAAAAAATTAATTAATTAAAAGTGAAATATTCTGTAGCACATGGGCAGCATGTTATTGGACAGTCTGGATTCTTGTACATATTTATTTTGATAAAAGCAAGTAGGAACTATGCCACTGCCTTTTGATATAAGTCTAGGGACCCTGCTCTATGCATGTATGTCCCTAATTCAATTTAATATTGTATGGCTGGACTTTAAAGAGCTTGATTTCTGAGTTATTGTTTATCTTTTCTGGATTCTGAAGATCTTCCATAAGTCTGATGAGTTGATTGGTACTCCCTGTTGCTGACAGGAGGTTCCTGTAGGTAGTTTAGAAGGATCAACTCTCTGGGTTATGACCTTTTATCTAATGTGTGTGTATGACAGCACTGGTATCACTGAAGGTGAACTGAGCTGTGTTGTCCTTCAAAGTGGCATGTAGCTGATGAAGGTATGCTGTAGGTGAGCCCTGTTAGGGTCTGCTGCTGCTTCTCTGATAGTAACATAAAGATACACCGCAGGATAAACTTGAATGGGTGTAGCGGCACCCATGGTATAGAGGTTCATCAAACATGTGGTTATTATTTTAAAGGTTTATTGAAATAAACAATACATTTTTTAAGTAATAACCTCAATTGTGAGATCCTCTATACTGAGCGTGCCTCTACACCAGTCAAAAATATTTTTTATCTGACCCAACCAATCCATGAAGCACTGTATTCACATGTATGGCTTGCAGAAAATATAAATGTTTGGAAGCACCTTTTCAGAATTCTCTAATCCCTGGGACTTCTCCCTGGCAGGAGGTCTGTAAGAAGAATTGCTGTTTGGGCCTGGTCTTAGTCTGGGAGCATGTGGGTAAAGCTAAAAGAACTAAGCTACAGCTGCAGCCAATACCTGAAGTGAACTGAACTGAAGAGGGGATCTTCTTGCTGAAGAGTGTTGTAGAGGAGCTGGGAAGAAGTTACCATCTCTACAGTGTAAGAAGGAATATTTGCCCAAAGGCTCAGGTAATTTTGTCTGCTTACAGAGCCACAGAAGCAGATTAGTGACTAGGATACATTATGACTGCTTTCAACTGGTTACATATTTATATGGCTGTTCTCTATCCTTCAACACTTTTTTAGAGGTTGCTGCTATAACAGTGTTTCTGTCCTTATATTTTGTGCTTTTTCAGGTATCCTGTTCCCGTAAATGTTCTTTCCTACTGCGAGTTCAGCAATGAAAGGTAAAAAGACTAATGTGAATGGCACCCAATGTATTTTTTTCTCCACTAAACACCAAGGACTAGACCCTAAGATTCAAAATGCTAGCCCTCTAAACCATCTGGGGGTCAACTACTACTGCTTAGAAGTAAGGGGTACTGCATAAATGAGTGAGATCATCAAATGAACCTGGTAAAATACTATCATAGTGAAGATTTGGAAGAAGTTAAGGTATGCCTGCATTAAAGTAGGTGTTAAATTTAACTGGATGACATTTTCTTTATGAAAAAACTGTGTGTTAAAACAGCCACTTGCAGTCTCAGTTTTGAAGCCTTTTGACAGGGTGACAGTTAGGTGACAAGGACATCATTTTGTCACCATATACTGTAACTAGAGATGAGCGAATTATTCAAAAATTCGATTCGGCTGATTCGGCGAATTCGCGGAATAGATTCGATTCGAGTCGAATATATTCGCTGCGAATTTAACTTATAAAAAGGGTGTTTCTAGGCTTCAGAGAGCCTTTATATTAGTGCAGAACACTGTACCTTTAATTTAAATGCCCTTGGAGTCTGCTGGGGAAGAGAAATAATACTGACAGTCAGTATGACATGCAGATGAGTGCCGTCGATCTTAGAATCACCGCACACTTCACTCATTTGGGCAGTCACGGGGCCAAAACCAGAGTGTGGAGCCACAGTGTGGCGGTGGAGGCAGCAGCAATGGGAGGCCATACAGCACCCTATGAAAAAATGGAACCCACCAGCAGTGTGAGGAGACCTGAAAGTGGCACATGGCAGAGTGTGGCGATGGAGACAGCAGCAATGGGAGGCCGTACAGGGACCCATGACACACTCTGGACCTGGCAGCAGCATGAGGAGGCGGTACAGGGGCCCATGACAGATTACGGGCCTGGCAGCAGCATGAGGAGTCGGTACGGGGGCCCATGGCAGATTACGGGCCTGGCAGCAGAAATGGGAGGCCATACAGCACCCTATGACAAAATGGAACCCACCAGCAGTGTGAGGAGACCTGAAAGTGGCACATGGCAGAGTGTGGCGATGGAGACAGCAGCAATGGGAGGCCGTACAGGGACCCATGAGACACTCTGGACCTGGCAGCAGCATGAGGAGGCGGTACAGGGGCCCATGACAGATTACGGGCCTGGCAGCAGCATGAGGAGTCGGTACGGGGGCCCATGGCAGATTACGGGCCTGGCAGCAGCAATGGGAGGCCGTACAGGGGCCCATGACACACTCTGGACCTGGCAGCAGCATGAGGAGGCGGTACAGGGGCCCATGACAGATTACGGGCCTGGCAGCAGCATGAGGAGTCGGTACGGGGGCCCATGGCAGATTACGGGCCTGGCAGCAGCAATGGGTGCCCGTAATCTGCCAGCACCCTATGACAAAATGGAACCCACCAGCAGTGTGAGGAGACCTGAAAGTGGCACATGGCAGAGTGTGGCGATGGAGACAGCAGCAATGGGAGGCCGTACAGGGACCCATGACACACTCTGGACCTGGCAGCAGCATGAGGAGGCGGTACAGGGGCCCATGACAGATTATGGGCCTGGCAGCAGCATGAGGAGTCGGTACGGGGGCCCATAGCAGATTACGGGCCTGGCAGCAGCAATGGGAGGCCGTACAGGGACCCATGACACACTCTGGACCTGGCAGCAGCATGGGAGGCGGTACAGGGGCCCATGACAGATTACGGGCCTGCAGCAGCATGAGGAGTCGGTACGGGGGCCCATGGCAGATTACTGGGCCTGGCAGCAGCAATGAGGAGGCCCGTAATCTGCCAGCACCCTATGACAAAATGGAACCCACCAGCAGTGGTGAGGAGACCTGAAAGTGGCACATGGCAGAGTGTGGCGATGGAGACAGCAGCAATGGGAGGCCGTACTGGGACCCATGACACACTCTGGACCTGGCAGCTGCATGAGGAGCGGTACAGGGGCCCATGACAGAAATTACGGGCCTGGCAGCAGCATGAGGAGTCGGTACGGGGGCCCATGGCAGATTACGGGCCTGGCAGCAGTAAATGGGAGGCCGTACAGGGACCCATGGACACACTTTGGGACCTGGCAGCAGCACCAATGTTAAAAATAATAACATTTTTTTGGGGCCCATGTTTCCCATGGCGGATTTATCAGTTTGTGTCAGAACGGTGTTTAAATCCAAAACTAATCCACCCCCCTGATTCATTTTTCCCACAAACGTAAAGTCTCCCCACATTTTGGGGGGAAACCGCCCGGTCCTCCGCGGATTACAATACCTCCGGGCCGCCTAAACACGCGCTCCGATGCCCCCCGCTACTGTCCGGGAAAGACACCCTTTTTAAAGGGGAAAATTTCCCAGCTATTTGGGGGCCCCAAAGGGGCAATTTTCGTTCCCAAAATCAAGGGGATTGTCTACCTCTTTTTGGGCGGGTGCTGCCCAAAGTAGGCCCAACCTGTTGTTTTGGGGTTTCCTGCCCAGGCCCCAACCTTTCTGCTGGCGGGCTGCGGCGGGCGGGTTTAGTTTCCTCACTGGGCTGGGAAGAAACTATTTCCACCCATCGCCCTGCAGATTTGAGGCACCCGCTGCTGGTGGAGCTGCCACCTCCTCCCCACCACCCCCCCCCCTCCCCTGCTCCCCAATGGCAGCGGAACGGGGAGCGCCAGGGCCCACAGTGTCGGGGTGGACGTTGGCGCAGAAAGGCAGAGACCAACTGACTACATAGGGGGTTTTTAAAAGTACGTTTTTTTTTGGGGCCTCCCTCTCAGGGAGGTGTGAAAAAGGCCACCCTTTTTTAACGGAACGTGGGGGCCAACAAGGTTTACAGCCAAAAGTCTCCCCTGTCCCGATGGTTTTTTATTCGGCTGTCGCTACCAAGGGAACCGGGCATTCATGGGGCCCTTTGTGCCAAAAGGAAAAAAGAGGGACTTTCCCCGCCCCATCTCCACAGCATACTGCCCCCGGGGCGTCGGGTCCTCTGGGCCCTCCCCCTCTACCAGATTTCTCCTGCTCCCCCACTCCTGTCCCCTGAGTGGAAAAACCCCCCATTTCACTTTAATAATTTCCTTGGCACCAATGTTCCCCCCCCTCTAACCCCCTCCTCTTCTTTTCCCGCCTGCCGCCCCCCAGGGGGCCTGTGGCGTTG